AATTTCTGCCACCCTGAGAGCTGCATGCCTTGAAAAGCCACATTTTGTGAGCAAACAGCAGCCCAACTCCCAGGAATTTTGCCTTGAGTGGGAAAATTCTGGTGCTACCTCCAGCACGGGCAAATTAGGAATTAAATCACCATGGTACCAGGGTTTGCAAAAAAATTCCCTCCTCTGCTCAGCCCAGGAAGCTTTCAGGGTAACAGCAGTTTTATTCTAGGTGGAGAAATTAGTCTCCCATGGCTTTTGAAAGCAATTTTGCTCTCCAGCCTCAAGTCAGGTTGTGCTTGTGCCCAGAGGGGGCATTCCTGAAAGGAAATTGCCTGCCAAACCTCCTGAGCGGCTGGGGGCAGGGGAAGGCAGGTGTTGGAGTGGTGTAGCACCTCCCAGTAACACCAGGAGGGATTCACAGGGTTTTCTGGGAGCAGACAGGATGTGAGCATCCCAGCCCCACCATTGCCTCCTGGCTATACCAGCTGCAGGACCGCTCAAACTGGGAGCATTGGCAGCCACACACTGTTTCCCAGCAGCCCGGAGTTGCACGGAATCAATCAAAGGTGCCTGCAATGGATATAAGAGCTCAGGACTTGAGCTAAAATCACCCCAGCCATGACCACCCTGAATTCTTTTACCCACAACAACCCCTATTTCTCATCTTCCCCCCTCTGCTTTTTAACTCTGAGCATTTCGAGGAACAGGAGATTTCACTATCCTGGCACTCACTGAGTATAACAGAGACCTCATCTCAGCCAGGAACACAAATATTTTCTTAACACACCTCAAACTCAGCCCAAATAGAGTTTTTATCATAGTGACATGTCCCAGAACGGGAGGTCTCCATTATTTTGGCACAAACTTGGGAAGAGACCAGCCCTTCACATGGTGCTTCATAGCCAAAGGAGAGGTTTAGAAAGACCTGGTGAAGCTACAAACAGATCCCCCTGCCTGATCATCTCCAATGCCCAAGGACTCACTGTGAGGCACAAAGGGAACCTGTGAGTACCCATGCTTTACCAAATCACAGCAGTAACCTCTTAAACCCTCTTTCTTTCTTAACTAGTCAATTATTGAAAGCTAAAAAGGTCACAGCAAGCTTCTCCTAAAGCCTCAGTCCTTGGTGATGCACACCTGACTGTCCAGCTGGTTCCTGTGCTGGATTCTGCTACAATGATACTTTTTCCTTGCACATCAGCTCCCAGAGACATGATATAATTCCAGAGGAATGCACTCTGGGATGAACACCATATGATAGCAAGGAATGTTGAGAGGTGCAGCACAGGGAGGTAAAACCTACCCATGATGGATACTTGGTTTTAGCTGTTAAAAGAGCTGATTAGCCATGTCATTGTGCCCAGATGGGAAATGCCACATGCCAGACACGTATCCAGGGTGGCATATACAACGTTCCACCTCAGGAAAGTGTGAGTTGCAAGGACCCACCAGCAGCTATCTGGTCAATGAGGAAAAGGTGTGATGTCAATGGATGTCCCCACATCCCTGACCTGGTTTGCTTCCAACCCCCCCAGAGGGCTGATCTGAGCTGCAGGACCATGCTGCATGGGTAGACATAGATGGGTTCCCCTGGAGAAGCTAAGCTAGGCAGGAGGAAGGAAGCAAACGAGAGGAGGGATGCTGCTAAGGAGAAAGTGATATATCCCAGGGTGATGTCTCTGTCCTTTCATGGCGAGATGCATCCCTCAGGAGCAAATAGCTCAACACAGCCCCATCATCCTGTAGCTCTAATGGCTTTCCAGTTATTTTTCCTTGAATCAGAGAATTATCAAGGTTGGAAAAGACCTCCATGACAATTGAGTTTATTGAATTAGAGGTGGCTGCAAACCAGGTGTTCAAACACTGACGACGTGCCTTGGTCCTGGTGCATCACCACCAGCAAAAATCATGAGAAGGCAGAGGGAAAACAAATTCACCCTGGCTGGGCAACACCTCCCGCGCTGGCAGAAGGATTTTAAGAGGACCCCATGCATCTTTAGTTTTCTGAAAGGCAGCAGCTGCCAACCTCCCTTCTAACAGCCCTGCGGGGCTGCTGACTTCAATAAGGAAGGACAAAGTGAGGAGACTGGGAGTTAGGCTGGGTGCCCCTTGGCACTGCTCCAGCTGGCCCAGGCTTCTTTGTGGGCTTTTTATTTATTTTTGTGGTTGTTTTTTTTTATGCACAGTAATCTCTGGGCCCCTTTGCCGTCTGTGGCTCTCAGCGTGCAGCTGCAGACCTTCCACTGAGGAGATAATAAATACAATCCTGGCCATTATTGTTGCAAACAGCACAGCTGGAGGCTCCCATCTCATTCCCCTCATGGCCTTTCTTTGCCCCCCCTCCAACAATTCTTGCATCGTGATGCTGCAAATAATGAAGGCCAGTGAAACTGCTTGGTAGAGCATCAGCTGGGGTTTCAGGAACTGCCCCCACCCCAGCAAAGCACATGAGACATTTGCTACACCTAGCGGGTCTCCTACAAGATTTGGGAAGGGGGGATTTGGGGAGGGAAAGGGGATCTAGGTAAAGCTAATAAAGGGTTTACCAGCAGGGCATTGTCACCTCCATGGTTCCCACCCCAGATGATGTTCCATTGCCCCAGTGATGTGGTGTCTCCTCAGCTCTTTTCCTTCCCTCCTTGGCCCAGGATCCTCCAATCCCTCTTGGCTGGTGCAGGATTTTGGAGAAAGATTATCTGAAGTGGGTTGGGAGAGCCATTTCCCCAGCAGGACCCATTTCTCACCACTGATGCTACCATGAGTCCTCATTTGCATGCCTCAGTTTCCCTCCTGACACCGTAAGAATGACTAGCACCAGGACCAAAAGGTGTTCATTCCTGTGTGGGGATGGAGGTACCATCCCTGTGTTTAACTGGGAAGGGAGGACAAGTCAGGACAGTCTGGTCTCACCCTATGCAGATGCCTCCAGCCAACACTGCCACTGCCACACCTGGTCCAGCCAAATGCTACTGCTGTCTTTGTGCACCATGTCCAGCTCCTGCCTTGTCTGGACAATCTAGGGACACCAGCCCTGCTTTGTCTTCTGCAAAATGGGCAGTCAGGCTAGGGTCAGGGAAGGGGACATCTGGGGAAGTGGTTTTGGTGGAGAAGTATTTAAGTGCCTCTTGGCACTTGGCCATCAGTGTTCATGGACTCTGAAGTATGGCTGCAGTCTCAGTGACAGCCAACAGCATGCCTGCCCCTCCAGGGACCTCTGCTCACCTGTGCTGCTCACCTCCCCTGCCTCCATTCTGCCCCGATCTTTGGCCCTTGCTTTTGGTACTGCTCTGTGGCACTTCTGCCATAACATAGAGATGCTGTGAGTCATCTGGATGCAGACAACCATCTTTCTTTACCATTTAACCGTGTATTAAGCCACTTCCTAACCTAATTTGGTCTGATTTCACAGACAGGCAGAGTAAGACTTCCCAAATCACAGCATCCTAATACACGCCCCCCATATGGGCTACATGGTGCTGACTCCTTGCACCCTGTTCCTTCCCTCAATGCCAGGCGAGGCCACCATGCATCATGTTGTGAACACAGGAGACAGAGACATCATCATGGAACATTTGGGGATGGTCCTGAAAAGCAATGCTCTCCCCTGTTTTATGAGACTGGCCAGGTTCAGAGTTACCCTATAATCCTTTGAATTGGAGATCTCTTGCAGGAGGTTGCAACACTCTAGTCCTGGATAGACAGAGGGGCTGGACCTTCTGCATGAACTGAACCTTTGCACTGGGATTAAAGGGCTTTGGAGAAAGGATCTCGTCCATCCTGCTCTGTGAAACTTGGCCTCACCACGCCCCCTCCTACAGACATCTCATTCTCAAGGATGGAAGGAAAATGGTCAATTTTGAGGTCAGAGATGTCTCCTGTCCCACTTGGAGACTAGTCACACAAGTCCTACACACATGTGTCACTTCAGACATTATGGGGTTGAGGAATCACATCTAGCTTGACCTGTCTGTCACAACACAAGTTTGCCTTTAAGTCAATTTTTTCTGATGAGGATGATCTTATTCAAAGTTAAAAAAATCACCAAAATTCAGTAAAATTAGTCCCCATCCCTGAAAGTGTTGGCCAGGTTTGGATGGGGCTCTAAACAAGCAGATCTAGCGGAAGATGTCTCTGCCCATGGCAGCAGGGTTGGAACTGGATGATCTTTAAGGTCCAACCCAAACCATTCTGTGATTTCTCTCCCCACTCCAGGGTTTGAGTTGTTGGCAAGAATCAGGGAAAAGGAGTCAACATCACAGAGACACAGACTGCAAAAAAGAAGCAGGACGGGAGAAAGTGGAAGGAAAAGAAATCCCACAGGTGCTGGCACTTAGATATTACAGCACATGGCCCTCTGTCAGCTACGATGAAGATAAAGTGCTTTTTTCCAGTTTGCCACTACTCTGACATACAGATTTCCAGCCTGCTTTATGCAACTCAGGAATGCGCCATGCTAAGGTAGCCAGGTTGGTTTAATCTCTTGCAGCATTTGCTCCCCAGAGCAGAGAGGCTGAGGAAATTCCCAGAGCACATATTTCCTTCTCCCCTGCCGCACACCATACATACAATGAAAACTCCCAGGAAATTAAAAAAAAAAATTGCAGTAAAAAAATCTCAAGGTTTTCCTCTAATGAATGGCTGTGCCGTTCATACATTTGCCTCGATAGGTTCAGGTGCCAAGTTATAAGACAAGAAATGGCTTGCTTAAGCCAGCCTTTATCTCTTCCCAGCCCTCAACATCTCGGTGTTCGGAAGTTTCTTTTGATAGCCTGCCAAGGCAGCCAATACTGCAGCTACCGTGCAGAGCCTGGGGGTGGCAGGGGTCAGGAGGGCTGCCGGACAAGGATGCCTTGTCTTATCCCACCCTTCAGCCTCTGCTTCTCCCTATCAACCAGCTAACAAGAGAGGAGAAGAAGGAGGAGGAGGAAGGAGGAGAGACTGAAAGAGGATAAAAAAAAGCAGTTAGGGATGGAGGGAAAACTCTAAACCTCTGAAAGATGGTGGCTCACCTTTTTTCTCCCAGCTCTGTCTAGCACTGGGATGGCACACACGGCTGCTCACTGTGGGGCTGGGGAAGCACAGAATGTTTTTCCTATTAAAAAAAAGCCAAAAACTTTTGAATGGTTTTTGTTTTACAGCTCTTTTGTCCCAATTTTCTCCCACCCATTCAATGCTGGTTAATTTCTTGAACTCAGTTTTAAAGAATAGGGATGCAGGAGAACCTCAACCCAACCCTACAGCCTTTCCTGCCAGTCCAACTTGTCATCGGAACTTAACGTCCCCGGGGATGCCTGTCATCATTCACACATTTTGTCATTGGTCCCCAATGCCTCTGACAGCAGCTGTTCAAATTCGTTCAGAAAACAGCAACGTCTCCCCTGCTCCAGGATGCCGCAAGGGAAAATCTGTCCCAGTGCTGCCACCCAACCTCCTGCCTACCCCGGTGTCAAGCATCACTCACCCCGCGCACCCGCTCCAGAGATGGGAGGTGGCAGGTCTTTGTTGGGCCATTTATAACCCACACGGGAGCAAGCACCGCCCACATCTTCTCTGGGACAGGGACTGGCTCCCGTGGGTCATGATAGGACATGATCCCTGCCCTGCACCAGGGCGATGGCAGACTCCGACCCAGTTTGCCTGTGAGCGCCTAGCTGCTGGCAGCAAGCAGCCAACCAAGTTTGGCCTGCAAATCCTCCCAGGGACATACCAGCCTGCCTCTGGTCCTTCCAGCATCTAACACGTCCCGCGTGCTTCTTATTCCTGTAGAGATCGGCGAGACACTGGTCTAACTCTGCCTTTCCCCAGCACCTCTTCTCCCGGTATTCGCTCCGCTCCTTACCGCTGCAGTAAGCCGGTGCTGCCAGCTGACCCTTGGAGCGGCGATCAATGCGATATTTCAGCGCAACGCCAGCCATCGGCACCGGCTGCTCTCTGCAGAGCAATGGCACAGTGTCCGCCCAGACAAGTTTCCTACTGTAACTTCAGTGAATGCTGTTATTCAGGCTCACGGCAGCTGATTTATCATGGCAGGCACACCGGGAAAGCTTTCCATTTGAGAGACTGGGGGCTGTTCGTCCCGCTGCCGCGATGAACAGCGTGAGCTCAGCAGGGCTCGCCGTGCTCCAATGTCTTCGCTGCCGCCAAATTACACTCGCTAACCGTGGTGGAGAGCGTCGGTTAACGGAGGCAATGCCACTTCCCCACGACACAAGCCACCAACTTTGTCCTCACCACCAGCTCCATCCTCACCACTCTCCTCCCAGCCTTCTCAAATACGAAGCAGGAGGACTAAAGCTGACAGACCCTTTTGTTTCCAGAGAGCTTGGCACGTGTTGTGGTTTACTGAGCTAATAAATCTGCCGTGGGCTGCGCCTTTTAATGACTGCAGCACTAATAACAAGTTTCCATGGAGCTGCCTAAAAGTTTACAGGGTGTGTGCGCTATGAGGGGAACCCCGGGCTTTCTGACCTTCTGTTGCAGAAGTCACAACCAGCAGCTTCCCTCTTTCTTTCTTTCTTCCTTTCTTCCTTTTTTTTTTTCAATGACAGAAAGAATAAATCCTGGTCTGCTTCCTCTCCTCCCTCCCCAAACACACCTTCCCCTCAGCTTAATCCATTTATAGAGGGGAAATTCCCAAGCAGGGAGCTTTACCGTGCCTTTATCAATGCAATCCGGGGAGAAAAGACCCCCCCTCTGCACCTTCCAGCTTCTTCACCCTACCCGGCCGACCCCTCTATGCTTTCCCTCCCTTCCCTTCTCTTTTCTCCCCTTACCTTGAGTAAACTGCAAACCCCTGAGAGCCTCCCAGCACCAGAACCCCAACAAAAAGCCCCCGAGAGGGGAGTGGAGGGCCGGGAAAAGAGGGGGAGGAAGGAAAAGGGAGGCAGGGAGCTCTGTGTGAAATCAAAGCCCCGAAGCCGAGCATGGGAGGCGGTGCGGAGCCTCCAGCTGCTGCTCGGATTACTCTGCAGCCGTGGCAATCCCGAGCACTCTACAAACCACCATTCCACTGGAAGAAGAAGAGGAGAAGAGATTCCAGCTGGAGAAGCTTCATGCGGGCTGGGGGCTCCTACGCACCCCTTGCATCTCAAAATTCCCCTTTGGAAAAACCAGAGGTGGAGAAAAAGTAGTTTATCTCCACCCGAGACTTCTGTCCTGCCCCCTACCCTGCTACCCCGGCCGCTGAGCCCCCACGCGAGGAATACTTCATCACACCAAAAAAGTTTCCGCACTCTGAGGCTGGGGTGGGCTTCCCAGCAGGCACCCCCGGGGCTGGCCCTGCGCAACCCGGGGAGGTGATAGGGAGGACTCAGCCCATTTCGATACAGATAGCTCGCCCCCTCCCCAGAGATGAGCCCCCATGGTTCTGCACACCCAGGGAAAGGGAGGGTGACGGGGGGGGGGGGGGGGGGGGGGGGGGGGGGGGGGCGACGAGAGGGCACGCGAGGGGCAGGGTGAGGATGGAGCGGGGCAAGGAAGCGATGGGGGCCAGGGAGGGGATGGGGGCACGAGGAGGGACTCACCGGGACCGGGGTCGGTTCCCACCGCCGGTCCGGTTCCCACGGCGGGGCGGCCGCGCAGCGCCGGTTCCCACGGCGGGGAGCGGGCGCCGCCGGGAGCCGGCAGCAGCAAGGCTTGGGGCCAGCTGTCCCCTTCTCCCCTCCTCCTTCTCCCTTCTCCTCCTCTTCCAAGGCGTGCAGCTGGCTGGGCAAGATGACTGCCCCCTTCCCCGCAGGAGGAGGGAGGAGGGAGCTCAACAGATGGCTGCACACAAGGGAACATCTGGGAGGAGGAGAAGGAGGAGGAGGAGGAGGAGGAAGGAGGCAGGACTTGCGCTAGGCTGTGCCACTCCTGAACTGGCAGACCCCCCTTATGGGGGAAAGAAGGGGGGAGGTGTCAAGTCGGCTTTGCACACACATACACAGACACACTCCCTCTGCATCCCCTCTGGACAAAATTCCTTGTTGTCCCTTTGCTTTCTTGCGAAAAGAAAGCTTACTTACTCCAGAGGTAACCTCGCAGCACAACCTTGTTTCCAGCCCTGATCTCTGCAGGGCTGTATTTGCAGGAGTGAGTCCTATTCCTGAACACTGCCTGCACCCAGTTTTCCAGGCTTTTAGGGCCAAGGTCAGCTCTGGCACCCCAGGGTGCACAGTAGGATGAGGCAGCACCAAAGTTTGAGCTATGCCAGCAGGCAGGAAATTTGGGCTTATAAACTGTATGCTGCAACCCCTGGAAAAGAATAACCCCGCCCACCATCAAACAGATATTAATCCACACTTTTGGGAACAGAGAGTCTGAACTCCGTCACTGGAGGATGAACTCCCTGGGGCTTTGTAAGAGCAGCCCTTCACCAGAATTTCTTGACTATTACATGTAATGGCCTGGTGGTGGCTTGAGTCATGATTTTGATACTGGAAAGAGAATCAGAAGTCTACCTAGTGTCATGCTGCTGTGACATTGGAAAAGGCAAAGGGGATTGCAAGAGACCACAGTCACAGAGGACATACCTTGTGGCTGGCTGCAGCTTCTCAAATTGCACCCCTTGTGTATTCGTGGCCTTTGCCAGGTCCCAAGCTGTGTGGTTGCTTGTTTCTTAAGAAGTTTAAGTCAAGAAGGTACAACTACGCTCCCTGTGCTTACTTTTAGTAGCACTGAAATACCCACATGCTCCATACTCACATCAGAGTTTGCTCAGACCATGACCCTCAAGCAAGTATGTTGCTGAGATTTGTGTTTAGCATCTCTTAGTGATGAAAAATTGGTAAAAAGGGGTTTTTTTTTTGGCTCTGATCAGCTGCTTTCTCCAAGTATGCCACTCCATGAAGATTTGCTGGGCAACCCCCACCCCTCCCAGCGACTCCAGCTCTGATCAGAGGGACTGAGGCTCGAGGCAGGAGATACTGGGGGTGTGAGGAAGATGTCACAGTTACTCCTCTCCACCCTCTGCATTTCCACATAAAAGTGTGGCTTACCTGCATTATGTGCTCTCTCTGTGCCCATGTCTCATGAGCTGCCTTTCGGGAATCATCATCATACCGCAAGAGCTCTACCAAGGGGCAGACCCAAGGAGCCAGAGAGAGGAAATCTCTGCTCAGGACTCAGATGACCCAAATGCTTTTTGGGGAAAACCATGGGAAAACCCCTTAATCTGGGTTGTGATTTTCTATGTAAACACCACGGTGGTATCTCCAGACATGAACAGTCTCCTGCAAGAGTCCATTCAGCCGGGTCTTTACACTGTTCACATTTTATAGCTCTGGGTAGGGGAAGTTGTTAAGCTGGAAGCTTTTGTTTAGTTTTCCATTTTGTTCATTTTTTCCATGCCTCATGTTAGACCTTTACCATGTCAAAGTTGGTCTCAGTAAAGCAAAATGCCAGTTCAAAGCTGGAGAAATTGGGAATTAAATCCTGTGGCTGAGATCCAGTTAATATATACATATATGTAAAAAACTCCAGTGTATATATGTATATATATATGCATATCTATATTTATGTATCTCTCTCTCTCTCTCTCTCTCTCTCTCTCTCTATATATATATATATATATATAAGTCCAGTAGTCAGCACTGCCAGGACTGGTGATTTGAAAGGAAGAATGGGAAAACATGAATCTGGCTTAAAACCTCTGAATTTTGCTAAAGAAAGATCTGTAAATTTTGTTTTCTTTATTTGCAGCCTAAAATAAACAAGCAATATTTTCTGTTAGATGGGACAATTGTGTATTCAGATATTTTGTTGATCAGGTAAAAAATAATCAGCTGAGAGATGTTCTGGCTTGAATGTCTAATGCTAAGAGAGATTTTAATAGAAGTTCCCTAGTTGAAGGGAGTTGGCCAAAATCATGACAGGGAGAGGTCTGACAATTCTGGGTGACCTGTGGATAGGGATTAGCCCTGGTGTGATGCTAACAAAAAATTAGTTATGCATCCATCTGATTCTTGGGTACTTCAAACAACAACTGTACCACTGTCTCACCACCATTACAATAAAGAATTTCTTCCTAACTTCTAATCTAAACCTCCCCCTGTCAGACAGTTTGAAGCCATTCACCCTTGTCCTATCACTCCACGTCCATGTCAAAAGTTCCTCTCCAGCTCTCTTATAGCCTCTTTAGGTACTGGAAGGTGCTCTAAGGTCTCTCCAGATCCTTCTCTTCTCCAAGTTGAACAACCACAGTGTCCTCATCCTGTCTTAATAGCAGAAGTGCTCCAGCCTTCTGAGCATCTTCATAGCCCTCCAGCACCCTCCAGAACCCTCCAGCAGATCAAACAGTTAGCTATCATGATAATACCGAGGTAATTTTTAGAGGACGTTTAGTTTTAAGGTCGTGTTTCCCACCATCACTATTTCTATTTCTTTGCCACATTGGAGCACATATTTGTAAAGGTAAAACAGGGTTTTCGCAGAGCTATGTGTCCCATGGGCTGAACCTTTACATGCAAAACCAGCCATCCTGTATTTGGACAAATTTCCCCACCTGTCTCAGACAGTTCCCTGCCTGGGACACCAGAGGAGTGTGAAAGATGAAATGGAACTTCGATTTTATCTCTTCAAATAGGTCTGGGAACCTTAAGACATCTTCCCCCAGTTAGGTTCTTCCAGGGCCATGCTGAGCCTTCGTCATGTCTTCTGTTCCCAGAAGACACCAGCTCAGTTCTGTGTTTCTCAACATCTGATAGCATCGTGCCTGGTTTGACTTGTTAAAATCCAGACAACTCTTAAGCCAAAGGAAAGTTATCTGAGTCACTCTGAGTTTCTCCTGAATAAATCCTAATAGACATGTCAGGCAAAAGAAGCTGAAGTGTGAATGAGGATGACATAAAATGGATTAGTAAGAAGAGCTAGTGTTGGATTTTTGCCTGATGATCTTTGAGTCCCTCCCTGAGATCTCATTTCCCTTCCTCTTATTATGCAAGCCCAGGAATGGAGGTTACTCATGCACCAAACTGTTGGAAAAAGCCACAAAGCCAGATCAGTGCCTTGCAATCCCTAATTCTTCTCTTCTCCCCCACATGAGAATAATCCTGCAGACGAAGGAGCCCTCCCTTTCTGCTGTGCAAGGAATTGCTCATAAACTCTCTCCTTTGTGGCTGAGATACAGTAGATGGCTTAGGAAGTTGTCCAAGCTTGATTGCATTTCTTACAGTTTCTCAAAAGGAAGAACTCACAGCATCAGCCAGGATGATTACTTATGGAAGGGTTTAGTTATTCCAAGAAGTTAAAAAGAATGTTGATGACAATAGTAGCAAACAACTATCACCAGTTCCCACTGGGAAAATATGAAAAAGGTAGGTCTACCTGTTTGCTCGGGGAATGTTTCCCATCCTTGTGGGAGTCCTGTAGTAACTCAGAACTAGAAGTAGAGATTTTTTTGAACTCCTGTAACACGTAAGACTTAAACAAACAAGCACCTGCATCTGTGGTTTTCGTTTTATTCAGAGGAGCTTGGCAATCTTGGATACACATTGCACTCTACTGTGTACAGCCTTTGTCAAAAATACAGATTGTTCTGTAGGTTCATCCTCACCCTTTGTTGCTGGACCATGTCTTATGGATGGGAGCCCACCTGACAGTAACTGACTGCAGACAACTCCCTTGTTCTGTATTGACCAATGGACTGGTATGGAAAATCGTGTCATTGCTTTGCTCAACACGTTGATTGTATCTTTACTGACTGGGAGCCAGCAGGAAA